TAGTAAGCCTGAAACAAAAAAGTAAATTTTATGTTTAATTAATTTTCTGTTAATAGCAAAAGCAGTAGCTGGGTAGTTACTTAGAAAAAAATACCTGCATCAGCCAGATGGTTACTTTTGTAAAGTTAGCTACTTTAGTTACCATTTACTTTTGTAACGTAACTACTTTAGTTACTAGTTACTTTTGTAAAGTAACTACTTTAGTTACTTAGTTACTAGTAAAGTAAAGATAAAGTGCCATCCCTAGATCAAATAGCATAGAAAAAGCTTGTTAGCGCAGCTTCAAAGGAGCTGAAATGTGGAACTCACATATATCTTCTGTACCTATTATCCTGATGCCTGATTTTTAAACTGCAAGATAGCTTTCTTTCGAATGTTTACGAAACCATTAATATATTAGATAGAATCTAAATCTTTCTATGCGCAGTTGCTGAGGTCTGTAATGGTAGGGTGTCTGTAATGGGGGGCTGTCTGTGATGGGGGGTATGTCTATAATGTTCTCTTTCCTCTTGCTAGGTATCTGTAATGGGTGAGGGGGGGGGGGGGGGAGGAGAGGGGGGCCGCGAAACCTCGAAGTGAAAACTTACACTCACTATTTTCTTCGAAAACATACGTGAGTTCCACAAAAAACAACAAAAGTTGACTAATATTTCCATATTTTGTAACGAAAAACAGCGAACTATAGTTTTGTATACAACAATGATCAAAAGTGCTTATATGCTTTGTTATGTGACATTTTATCTTAAATTTTCTTTATACTCGAAGAATTGATTCGAAAAAGTGTGTTATTGCAATTTTATCATCATGAAACTTTATCTTAATGATATAATTTTGAGAAAATCATAGTAATAAAGACACATGACGGAAATGAAAAATCCATTTTATACACTTTCAAGAATTGCCATGACTTTGCTAACAGCTTCTATTTGGTGGTTATAAACTTCTCTAATTTAATCCTTGGGTGTCATCAACAAATGCAAGATCAATTATTATGATTTGCTTTTAAACCTATGTCTTGTACTAGAAACAAAAGGACGCATGAAGCGTTCGAAAAATGAGTAAGTTAAATAATTGATTGTTATTTTGCTGCTACCAAACCGACTTCTGGCGGATATTTAAGATAATCATCATAAAATGCCCTGTTAGGTGCATAAGGGTCAAATTCAATCGGTACCCACTGTAACGTTTTAAATCCTGCTTCTTTGAACACTTGTTCGTAAGTTAATGTGGAATAATAGTACGCTGTAAAAGCGCATGTCTCTTCGTTTTCAGTGTTGTAAAGAGTGACACTATATTCAGTCGCATCTGGTATACAGCCATCAGAGAAAGTAACTGTAGTATATTTTGTGAAACCATATTTTCGATGATCAATTTCTTCCTTGCGTGGCATTGGTATAGCTATTAGACCAATGAATTGTTTGTTTTCGCCTAACTGGTTAAAGATGACCCGTACCATTTCCAGCAATTCATCACGTGTGCGTGCGTAGGGAAGCAAATAAAATCCAGTAACTAAATCAAAAGGTTGTTTAGATTTAGGCAAATCTTTGACATCGGCAACCATGTAATCAATGTCTTGCGGATTCTGGTGTTCGATAGTACGAGCAAGCTTGATCATTTCTGGACTTATGTCCACTCCAAGAATGTAATCGCATTTTAATGCTTTTAATTCACGGGTATAGTTACCATGACCACAAGCCAGATCCAGTACGCGTTTTCCTGTCAAGAGGCCATGTTCATTTAGGAGTGGTTTTAACATACAATTGTGAACCGTATAGCGTTCAATGCAACGAGTGCCCCATGTGTCATGATTTTCAGCATACTGCAGAGCAATACTGTCGTACTGAGCTTCGCTGCTAGCCATAACTTCTGATCGACTAATGTAGTTAGATGATATACTGATTCATCAAAAAAGTAAATAGAGAAACAACACTATGTTCTCACAGAAGAATCAACCAAGAAAAGACAGAAAATGAAGTCTTTTTTCAAGTTATAGGCGTCTCATAGGCCACACTCATCCTAATGACTTTCTTGATGTTTTATCTCATGTCACATACTCTTTCCTGGAAGCAAGGAACGATATCACTCTAGTAGTACTGAAAGTCTTTCAATTTGTTTCTTTTTTTTTACAAAAACTATTGAATTCATTATCGTAATGATCAATATGCAGTTTCATTCCTGCAGGTATCTATTGAAATGCCTTTTCATACTCAGCAAAAGGTTCATTACTGAAGAAGGAGATAGCCAAAGCATCGCCAAATTTGAGCCAAAGTTTTGTTTACAAGTAGACCTCGATGTCACTAGACAAAGCCTAAAAGCACTCGTACCCATAGGCTGCTGAAGTCGACTTATAAACCTTTCAACAGCTTTTCGTACTCGAGCAATACATTCATCGAAAAATCAAAAGACCGTATTTTGAACTCAGAATTCGCCTGCAAAGAGCTGTCAGAATCATTAGAATTTTCCAAAATTTCAGCCGAAATACTTCATTTATCTTTCAGATGTTGGATGCTTCAAAAACGATTATATGTAGCAGATAAGTTAGAAAATCGAATTGTTTTGAAAACCCAATACTTCCAGGATATAGCATCTCTTTTAGCTGATACTTCTTGGGCTATTTCGATCACCGTGATACCTCTTTATGGGCAAATTGTCACAAGGTGGGGTGCTCTGGAAAAAAGAGCTTTGCACAACCTTTGTGGACTCTGCGATCGGGTAAAAGACAGAACTTACACAAAAGATTTCGGCTGAAAAGGCTTTCTATCAAAAACCAGCTGAACTATTTTTAAATTTTTAAGAAACATAGTTCAGTCTGACACCTAAGTAGGCCTGTACCAAGACTAGGTTTATCAGCAAAGATCAAAATGTTTCTGCTTAACGAATCTTCAAAAAAAAGATTTCAATTGCGTGCTGCTCGACTTGCTTCCATTTGATTATGCATACAATTGGATAGACCATTTATTCTCAACAAGTTGAAGTCTC